CCTTGCCCTAAGAATATGAAATTTCATCCCGGAAATCTTACATAAAAACTAAGGGCCCGTTGTCAGAAACAAAATTAGTCCCAACATTGGTCTTAACATTAATTGTTTCTTATATGCCAGAACTTTATGCACTGCGTATAAGTAAACAAGTTAATTGCCAACAGTCTAAAGCCTGCCGCATACGCTGTGGAACTTGCTGTGCCATCGTCCACACTAGGACGATGACGTGTGGACAAGGACGTGTGGACTAGGATGATGACGTCACACGTGGACGATGACGTGTGGACGATGACGTGTGGACTAGGACGATGACGTGTGGACAAGGACGCGTGGACTAGGACGATGACGTGTGGACTAGGACGTGTGAACTAGGACGATGACGTCACACGTGGACGATGACGTGTGGACGATGACGTGTGGACTAGGACGATGACGTGTGGACTAGGACGTGTGAACTAGGACGATGACGTCACACTAGGACGATGACGTGTGGACTAGGACGTGTGGACTAGGACGATGACGTCACACGTGGACGATGACGCAGCAAGTTCCACAGCGTGTGCGGATGCAATATCCCTCGAATAATCAAGCGAACAATGCGAATTAAGTGAGGAAATTAACACAGCCACTCGCACACGCTGTGATATTTTCCACATGACGCAGATCGAGGAATTTTGCATGCGCACACGCTTGTGGAACTTGCTGCGCCTACGTCCACACTAGGACGATGACGTGTGGACTAGGACGTGTGGACTAGGATGATGACGTCACACGTGGACGATGACGCAGCAAGTTTCCCAGCGTGTGCGGATGCAATATCCCTCGAATAATCAAGCGAACAATGCGAATACACGTATAAGAACACGTATAAGTAGGCCTACTTTTTCTCGAAACTTCGGACAGTAATGTCAATCACACAATTGAGGCATCTTCAAAGAATCGACTATATATGCTCTAATTACCTACGCGATAGTTGGCCAAATTTACAACATTACGTTTGGGTAATTAAAATGTTGGTTAAATTTTGTTGTCGCCCATGCTCGTGATGTGTAAAGCTTGAAATAGCTTTGTGGCAAGCATAGTCGATTCTTTCGACTTCATGTCAAACACACCACGACCAACGACCAATCGTTAACCCCCCCAGCTAGAGGAACAGCTCGGATCAAGAAAGATGAGACGAAGACGTTTCTATATAGATTCGCGACGCATGGCAATGGTGCGCGCTCATATAGCATTGATGGCCACCAACTGTGAGCCTTTATTAATCTGTTAGAGGACATCACCGGACTTTATGAAAAAACCAGCGTGATGTCCTAATAAGATATGAATACAGCTTCACATATTAAACTAAAAATACGTATATAAGCATCAGTACGCGTCCATCAAATAGCACAGACCATAGAGACCTCGCACCACAACGCAACGCAATCGGAGAAGTCCTGTTAAGTGACCGAAACCCGACGAAGAATCGTTGACTAGGCGACGTGTAGACCACACCGAGCAAACCAGCCTCGCAAAGCAAGAGAATTGAATTATTACCTCAACAAGATTCATCGAGAATACTTTCACAGACGCCAAGAGGTAGGTGCACGCTGTCGAAACGCAAACGCAAAGCGTCGAATAGCGACCAGTAAGATCTCGTGTAACGACGGACATTGGCTCCAGTGAAAAATGCGGTAATGCGAAACTACGAATTTAGTGTTAAAGGCTGAATTTCTAGTCGACGTTTATGGTAGACTATGGTACTATTGTCAGGTTAGTACTTTCCCCACTATTCCCACACGGTGGAACAGTACGATTAAGTCCCATCGTGATGACTCTGACCGCCAACATCTTCCTTTACAGAATAAACATGGACAAACCGAGCTTGTTCCGACGCCGCAAGTTCAGCGAGGGGGTCAGCGTATCGCAGTGGCTCATGCTGCGGTCGCAGTGGTTGACGCTGCGATCTCCGAACTCCCGTAGCAACCTCGCGCCGCCCGTGAACCGCATCGTCGTCATGGGCAACGCGCGCGTCGGCAAGTCGTCGATCGTGCAGCACATGCTCGGCCGCGCCGAGGCGAGCGAGTACGCGCCCACGCTGCAGGAGACGCACGCGATGTCGCTGCGCGTCGGCGACGCGTCGCACGTCGTCGCCGTGACGGACACGAGCGGCACGCGCGACTTCCCCGCGATGCACGCCATCAACGTCGCGCGCGCGCACGCGTTCGTCCTCGTGCACTCGTCCGCGTGCCGCGACTCGTTCGACAGCGTCGCCGCCATCGCCGCCGACATCCGGCTCATGCGCGGCGGCCTCAACGCCGTCGCCATCGTCCTCGTCTGCAACTCCTTCGAGGGCGCGCCGACCGTCGCCGGACCCGAGGAGACGGCGCGGCTCGCCGCGGCTCTGCACTGCAATCACGTCGTCAGGCGCCACGGCGAGGACAACTCGAGTGCGATCTTCAAGGCGCTGCTCAGCCCGCACGTGCCCGACAAGGCGCACCGCAAGAACCACGTACAGAGCATACTCTCGACGTTCCACCGCGATGTCGATAGTGAAAGTTTAGAGCTGACGCAGGGAACGCGGACGCGCGATACGAATGCGGTTCGCGATGGCTAGTGTTACGACTACTAACAGTTAGTGTTAGTTATTATCATGTTTTACGCCCATCCCTGTGATAAGTTTCTTCTTTTTTTATAATTGCACTCATTATCACTGTATTATTATTACAATCATTATGACTGTATATACACTCGATTATAAGGAAACTAACTGGAGTTGGTACTAATTGGTATGAAAGTTCAATCTACAGTACTTAGAGTAAACTACAGACCAGTTATTATAGTTTTTTTACATAGAGTATGTAAGTATTCCTGTTGTAAACTTGTAAATAATAGCATATATACTACAATCTTGCAGTAAGGCTTAATAATTCAAGTCGACTTGCTACTGGTACCGTATGAAGCTTCAATCTTCAATAAGACTTAACCACATCTCATTTCAGAAGAGCAAACTACATTTCAGCTACATAGTATTACCGAGTTGTACCCGGTGCATTAATACCGATATCAGTGTTAAACTTGTTAACCATAATGTATTTATAACAGCTGTATAATTATATGTAATAAATGAAGCTCAACTTTGAATCTAACAATATACTGTTGGGAGTTTTATAGTTATTGGAATTCATAGCAATGATTGATTGCCATCTATCTGTTTTGATATGTCTGCATGTCTTATATGCCACTTCGACACAAAGGCCACTATCGTTACCTGTTGTATTCTAATATTTGGCATGCGAAATCTTATAGGAAGTTAGAGCATAATTCCCTACTGTCTCAGGCTGCTTAATTCTTCCTCTTCTATGTAACTGACAGTTTCTATATCTGTGAGTTACCCAGGGTACGTTCCGGCAGTACCCTGGGGGACATAGACCCTCTCAGCCATAGTGTACATACCCGGGATAGTGATTGTGCTTCCAACAGATTGCCTGGCGATGGAACTTCGTGCTGGTACACACTATCTAGAAATGGCTGTAGCGCACCATCCTGCAGAAGAAGCAACAAACGTGTTGCGCATATTGCATAGCACTGCCCTGCGGATGTTGCGCAACTCACCAGAAGAAATTGCCAGGAAATTATTCCATTCCAACTCAGTGATATAATCGCGCCGCCAACATTCTTGTAGTGTCACCATGTGGGCTAGTCTACACCAGTTTGTATGTATGTATGTATGTATGTATGTATGTATGTATGACTGGGAACCTTTAGATCGGTATTTCCCTGCAAAGAATTTTGTGTTTTAAAGAAAAGAGAAAATTCATTCCGTGTCCCCTTATAGATTTGTGAGTGCAGCTGATCTAGCTCCCCAAAGTATCTCCAGGTACTGTTTAGTAAGCTTAACTATAGTAATATTACCAATAAGGCTGCTGCCAACCCTAAACCCCAGGAGAATTTTCAAGAGCTCCTCCTGCATGTCATGTGAGGTTTCTGTTGCCTCCAAACCTGTTCTACGTTTAATCATATTAAAAAAACTTTTTCTAAGGTTTTCATATTCAGGACATTCTAGTAAAAAGTGCTCCAGGGCCTCCAACTCTCCTCTCGCACAAATTAAACATTTATCTTCGCCTCCCCAGTGTCTAGTTCGTTTATTCAATGGCAAGCACCTCGCCCTGCATTGAAAGCAGGGTTCTCCAAGAGCACTTATAGCCTGGTGGCCCGCCAGGCTATCGTCGAGCCCCGCCATCCTAAAATGCACCCGCCACTCTAAATATCATAGCCGCCATGCTAAATATTATAGCCCCCAGACCCACCTAGCACGCAAACCGCCTTCGGCGATTTGCAACTAGGACCGTAAAGGCAGCACCCGCCATGCTATAATGAAAAAGCTTGGAGAACCCTGGAAAGAGCAGGCTACTCCCAAGACTATTATTATAAAAGGACTCGTTACCAGGCGTCTTTTTTTCTTTATACAATCCTAGCGAACTCTTGTTTTCTATCCCTTTTTTCCAGACGGTAGTACCACTCTGTTTTATTGCTCTTTCCACTCTAACATTCCATTCTTTAATACCCCCCTGTTAACTCTTCATCTAGACTCCTATCTGAGTCAAACTTTGTTATGAGGAATCTAGTTCTCCTCCTCCAGTCTGATCTGAATTCGCCCAATTCCATTGCTTCCGCTATCTGTTTACGTTTACGTTCATTATTCATATATTTTATCCTGCCCCAATATTTAATTTTACTTTTTGCCTCTCTCTCTTCAAAAGTTGACCATATCCCATCTCCCCTCTAATACTCTCCAGTCCCACATAAGAGGGTGCCCCTAGTAACTCCCTTCCCAGCTGGTTTTGAGTCCTGTCTAGTGCCTGGAGCATGGACGTTTACTAGGACGATGACGTCACACGTGGACGATGGCGTGTGGACTAGGACGTGTGAACTAGGACGATGACGTCACACTAGGACGATGACGTGTGGACAAGGACGTGTGGACTAGGATGATGACGTCACACGTGGACGATGGCACAGCAAGTTTCACAGCGTGTGCGGCAATATCCCTCGAACAATCAAGCGAACAATGCGAATTAAGTGTGGAAATTACCACAGCCACTCGCATACGCTGTGATATTTTCCACATGATGCAGATCGAGGGATTTTGCATGCGCACATGCTGTGGAACTTGCTGCGCCATCATCAACGTGTGGACGATGGCACAGCAAGTTCCACAGCGTGTGCGGTGGGCTTCATTAAAATTCCGGAGAAAACGGAATTTTCCGGGATGAAGTTTCATATTCTTAGGGCAAGGTAATTAGAGCATATATAGTCGATTCTTTGAAGATGCCTTAATTGTGTGATTGACATTTTACGAGCCTAGTAGACAATTCATTGATAAACAATGCGAATAGGATTGGTGATAAAAGGCAAACCTGTTTCAGACCTACATTAGATGCTATCCAATCCGATTCAAACAGTCCCAAACTTATCTTTAATTCATTGTTCTTGTACATAGACTCCACTAGCCGAACCCATTACCCAAACCTATTCTTCTTAGTTCCCTTAGTAATTTATTCCTATCCACCCAGTCATAAGCTTTTTTGAAGTCCAAGAATGCAAGGTATAATGGTTTTCTTACTGCACATGCATTACTTTAAGGTATAAATGTTTCGCCTGCTGAATGCATTGGGTTATTATAAATATATTATCCCCCGTGCACCGATCCCTCCTGAAACCATTCTGTAACTCCCCCAAAATATTTGAGTCTTCTAACAATTTTTCCAGTCGATCTCTAATAATTCCCATGAATAACTTACTCACGTTGCTCGTTAAGGCAATCGGTCTGTAGTTTTGCAGAAGCTGTTTATCCAAGTTTTTACCCTTATAAACTAATGATACTTTTGATTTCTTCCATGAATCTGGGAACTCCAATGACTGTAGAATTTTATTAAAGAGGACCGTTAGTGCTTTGACTAGGAATTTCCCCCCAAACTTTAGAAATTCGTTTGGTACCTCGTCAAAGCCACAGACCTTGCCCTGCTTACTTAGCTTAATTCTATATCTAAGCCGCACCTCCTCTACTGTTTTTCTATCTAACGAAGTATTTCTACTATCTATATGAGGGCTATATGTACGTGGTTGGGACTGCTGGGGGCCCACTGAGATGATTTGATGAGCCCGAGTTGCTTTTTCGCCAGAAACCCGTGAGTTCATTTTCTATATCTCCTTTTTTTCCAAGACGCACCCATCTTCGTTTCTTATTTTAACTATGCCGTCGCGTATAAGTTTATCCTTTCTAATTAGCTCTCAAAAACGCGTAGTACTTCCCCTACCCGCTGATTTTATATTTATAACCTGTTGTTTTTCAAAGTCCGCTCGTTTATTTTCACAAAACTTTTATTGCTATTTCTTTTTTCCTATGGTACACTAATTTTGCTTCCTCCAATTTGTCTTTCCCAGAGGGCTTCCCCTCCAGAAAATCCTTCCCCATCTTCCTGAAAATTCTACAGGCTGCTTGTCTATCATGTCTGGCTCTCTTGCACTCCCCATCAAACCACAGTCTATCCTTCTGCAGTCTTGCCTTGCCTGATGTTTTCCCCACACTTTTCCCTCCCACCCCATTTAGGACTCTAATGATCTCTCTTTCTAATTCCTCTACTATTTGAGAAAGCTCAAGTAGTTCCTCAGATTCCCTAAATTGATTATCGCATTGCATTTGAAAACTCTCCCAGTTCGCATCCCTGAGTTTCCATACTCTACTTTTACTTGTCTTCCGGATTTTCTTATTCTTACTCATTTTAATATTTAAGTAGATTATCATGGGGTAATAGTCAGAGTTAATGTTAATTTCTCCAGCGTCAAATATCCTAATTTCCTCAATTCTCTTATCTGCCTTTCTATTTGTTAGCGCATAATTAATCCACGACTGACCGGAGGATGTTGCGGCTCCATGTATATTTCCCACTACATCTGTTATCCTCGTTTAAGATTTTTAGACTGTTGTTCTCGACGAAATCCAGTAACCGCTGCCCATTACCATTTATAACTTCGTTTGCTAACCCAATATGTCCATTAAAGTCACCTATAATGATACAATTCTAGTTTAATGACTGAAGTTTCTCAAATTGCTGTCTTAGCGTTTCATAGATAGCATCATTCCATTTCCGATCTAGGCCTTGCCTGCCCGCATATACAATGCCAAAAGCCCATTCCTCTCCCCCCAGTGCCCCGCCCACCCACACTGTTTCTGCTTTTGTAATATCTTTACTGAGGTTGTTCACATCCTTTAAAGGCTCTAATTTTAGGTTAGCATCCAAGATGAAGCCTATCCCTCCCCCTTTTTCTGGCATTTTTTCCTATTCCAGCCCACCCAGTCTATGCCATTTTTCCTAAATGGTTCGGGTTGGAAATTATACCTGAAAAACGTTTCCTCTACTCCTAGAATGCCTAACCTATCTCTCTGGAACCAATCAATTACATCTACAGCTTTATTTTATTATTTCAAACAGTTAACATTTAGCCATCCTATTCTTAACTTTTTCCCTCCTTATCCCCTCCCTCTCCTCTCTATCCCCTCCCTATCTCCCTCCCTATCTCCCTCCCTATCTCCCTATCCCCTCCTCTCCCTATCCTCCTTATCTCCTTTTTCCCTCCTTATCCCCTCCCTCTCCTCCCTATCTCCTCTCTATCCCCTCCCTATCTCCCTCCCTATCTCCCTATCCCCTCCCCTCCCTATCCTCCTTATCTCCTTTTTCCCTCCTTATCTACTTTATTTTCATTTGCATGCTCCACATCCACTACTTCCGTGCGACCATCAATGTTGGGTGGTTTATTGCTTAAACAACTGCTCTGCACTTCCAGAATAATCTGCGCCTGTCTGGCTGCCTTGTGGCCCCCACCGTTTAGTTTCCCTGGTGTGCCGATATGAATTGTGCTATCGTGCGTGCAAGCCAAAATCTCGATTTCTTAGCACTTTGTTACCAAGCATTACATTTAGATTGCATCACAACAATGACTTGCTATAGTTTCCTATCAAGCATGACACGTATATATGTCTATTCCTACGAAAAAGAGAGGCAACATCAAAATAAAGTGAAACTGCAGTTTGACGCTCAAAAACAGAGATAACAATTACACACGATGTAAATTTATCACATAACCCATGGAATGACACAAGTTATATCTTCTGCATCCTGCTGCAAAACGACTTACAAACAGTGAAAATAGTATTGTAATTTGTATTCAATATATTTGGATTTTTATTCAGTATAGCAGACTTTCAAGGGCACCACACCAACTGCTACTACCAAACCACAAAGTCCATAGCCCAATTCACTTAGGCACTGACAGCAAGTGCTGTGGTTTCCCTCTTTACTTGCCGCTGGGCGATATCAACAACAGTAAATCACTTTAACTCTCTACCTGATATGCTTCCATGCCCTTCCCATACATGCGAAGTAATGTACGTATCACTCTTTGCCTCGCAAAAAAACGTGCTGTTAAAACGCAAGTGGCGTTGAACACCCTTCTTTGAAAGAAATGTCGTGGTACCCTTCCAA